ACACCAGTAAATCAGAGGCTGCTCTTACTCAGGAGATTCTAATTCCACTGCTAGAGGCCTTGTCCTTAACCACTGCCTTACTGAATCTTTCCAGCCACCTTGGAGGAAGATCTTACCATTAGCTCTACATTATGGATGAGAAATCTGAGCTGGATGCAGTGGTTCATGTCTGTAATCCCAGCACTTTGGGAGGCCAAGGCAGGCAGATCATTTGAGCCCAAGAGTTCAAGATCAGCCTGGGTCTTGAACTTCTCATGGTGAAACCCCATCACTACAAAATGCACACACACACACGCACACAAAATAGCCAGACATAGTGGCATGTGCCTGTGGTCCCAGCTACTCAGAAAGCTGAGGTGAGAGGATTACCGGAGCCTGGGAAGTCAAGGCAACAGTGGGCTGTGATCACATCAATGCACTCCAGCGTGGGCAACAGAGCAAGGCCTTGTCTCAAAATATGGCAAGGCAAGGCAAAGGAGAAGGAAGGAATAAATATGAAGTAGCTCAGCAAGGTGAAGTGACTTGCCCAAGGTCACATGGCCAGCAGGCGGTAGAGACAGTGTTCAAAGCAAGGTCTTGGAAGGCCAGTGAAAGAAATCCAAATGTTTTACGTACAAATAGATTTTTTCCACATATTTTGAGGTGGCTGTCAGGGGGCCAGCAAGCAGAAGCGTCCCTGCAAAGCTACCTTTTGTGGGGGCCATTTGCTTCGGTGGAGAATCTGCATTGATGCAGCCAGGCCTTCCCTTGTCAGGACCTGGGAAAGACAAACCGAGAGGCTCACACGTTAAAGATCTGAAGGAAACATTCACTGTCTATTCTCTCTGAGGGCTGCTCCCTGTGAGGGTTCATCTACCTAAGGAGACCACCTTTGCCCGCCAGGCCTCGTCTTCTCCCCCTCCCATAACCCGTCCTGCCATCACAACCTGATTTACCACCATGACCTGTTGCTGGCCATGCCTCAGGGGAGCTCCCATTCTTCCTGTAACCTCAGATGGTATAAAAGCTTTTGCACCCCATTGTGGGGTTGAGCCTCCATTCTGAAGGCTCCAGTGTATACGCTTTAAATAAATTTGTATGCCTTTTGTCAAGTCAATCTGCCTTTTGTGAGTTGACTTTTTTTTTTTTTTTTTTTTTTTGTCTTGTTTTTTTTTTTTTTTTTTTTTTTTTTTTTTTTTTTTTTTTTTTTTTGAGACAGGGTTTTGATCTGTTGTCTAGGCCAGAATACAGTGGTGTGATCACAGTTCACTGCAATTTTTCTCCTCCCAGGCTCAAGTGATCCTTCCACCTCAGCCTTTCAGGTAGCTAGAACTACAGGTGCATACCATCATGCCCTGCTAATTTTTTTGTAGAGACAGGGTCTCACTATGTTACCCAGGCTGGTCTCAAACGCCTGGGCTCAAGCAATTTGCCTGCTTCAACCTCCCAAAGTGCTGAGAATACAAGCGTGACCCACCACGCCTGACCCTGTGAGTTGATTTTTCAGCTAACTTTCTGAGGGTGAAGGAAACAGGCCTTTCTACATGGACACAGAGCATTTTGGAGAAAGCAGAGATGCTGCCAGCATCAAGGAAAACCAGGAGTTTAACGCACTGTCATATGAACAGAGGGCACAGTCAATGCTTGATGGATGTACTTTACAAGCAGTCATTGGGAACAGCCTTCTGCACAACACACTCTTCCCTTTCAGGGGATTGAGAAACCCACGAGGCCTTCTCTGAGGTGGGTTTGGGGAGGAGCACAAGGAGCGGACTGCAGGCATGAGTCCCATGCCATCTGAGCCTGTAGCTCCATTTGAGAGGGATGGCAGTGTGCAACTCCTTGCTCTGAGCTGCAGTAAGGTAGGAACTGACATTTTGTCCATACTGAAGATGGGGAGACTGAGACACAGCAAGGGGAAGAAACTTGCCAGAGGCCCATCAGCTGCAAGGCAACGGAAGTGGAACCAGAGCCCAGGTGGTGGTGTTACAGAGCTCATGTGCTTGCTGCTGTGTCTTTTAATGTCACACTCCCAGCATGAAATAGAGCATGGTGAAGGCTCCTCAACCAAGAAGGAGCAAGCTCTTATCATGTGCTAGGCAGACAGAGTTTCTGCCCTGATGGGCTTAGAGTCTAGTGCAGGGAGGCAGAAGATAAACCAATAAAAAAATATATAGTACATTAGGTTGCAAGAAGCAGTCACGTGCAATAGTTCCTGCTTATAATCCCAGCTACTCAGGAGGTTGAGGCAAGAGGATTGTTTGAGTCAAGGAGATCGAGACCAATCTGGGCAACAAAGCGAGTCCCCCCATCCATAAAAAACTTTTTTTAAGTTGCAGTAAGTGCTTTGACGAAAAACAAAGCAGGGTAGTGTGCTGAGAGTGGTGAGGGTGCTATTACATTTATTTGTTTTTAAAATTGGGCCGGGCCTCATAGCTTATGCCTGTAGTCACAACACTTTCAAAGGCTGAGGCAGGAGAATCACTTGAGTCCATGAGTTGAAGACCAGCCTTTGCAACATAGTGAGACCCCGTTTCTACAAAAAATACAAAAATTAACTGGCCATGGTGGTGTGTGCTTGTAGTCCGAGCTACTCAGGAGGCTGAGGCAGGAAAATGGATTGAGCCTGGGAGGTCAAGTCTGCAGTGAGCCGCGATCATGCCATTGCACTCCATCCTGAGCAACAGAGCAAGAATTTGTCTCAAAAAAAATTGTGTACATCTATACATTTTATTGTATATATTTATTTATGGTGGACAACATGATGTTTAGATTAGGTTGCTGTTTTTAACAAAATGGTCAGAGACAGTCTCATGAAGAGCTGCTTTTTTTATCCGTTTTTTTCTCCGGACAGGATCCTGCTCTGTCTCCCTGGCTGGAGTGAAGGGGCATGATCACGGCTTATTGCAGCCTGGACCTCCTGGACTCAGGTGATCCTCCTGCCTCAGACTTCTGATGAGCAGGGACTACACACATGCACTACTACTCCTACCTATTTTTTTTTAAATTTTTATTTTTGTAGAGACAAGGTCTTGCTTTGTTGCTTGGGCTGGTCTTGACTCCTGTGGCACAAGCAATCCTCCTGCCTCAGCTCCCAAAGTTCTGGGATTACAGGTTTGAGACACCGTGCCCAGTCTATCCTTTTTATTTTTGAGGTATGATTTACATACAATAAAGTACACTAATATGAAGAGTATAGCTCAATGACTTGTTACATTTATAGACACCAGCCAAATTACAATTTAGAACATTTTCAGCACTCAGGAAATTTCTTCTTTCCCAGTCTGCATCTGAGAGGTCATCTATACTTAATGCTCTCATCATCAATGAGTTTTGCCATTATCTTGCTTTTTTCACTAAACATAATGTCAGTGAGATTCAAGCATGTTGTTAGGCATGTCGTTATGCATGTCAGTTCATTATTATTGTTGTGTGTTTCTCCATGGATATTCCACATTTGTGTATTCATTCTCCTGTTGATGGATGTGAGGGTTGTTACTATTTTTGGTTATTATGAATAAAGCTGGTATAAACACTGATTTGTAGGAGTTCTTTATATATTCTGGATATGAGTTCTTTTTTCAGTTTTAATTTATTTTCATCACTATTTTTTCATGATACAGCTATTTTAAAATGCAAAGAAAATTAACTTTCAAGCTGGGCACAGTGGCTCATGCCTGTAATCCTAGCACTTCAGGAGGCCAAGACAGGCAGATCAGTTGAGGTCAGGAGTTCAAGACCAGCCTAGCCAGCATGGAGAAACCCTGTCTTTACTTACAATACAAAAATTAGCCAGGCGTAGTGGACACCTGTAATCTTAGCTACTTCAGAGACTGAGGCAGGAAAATCACTTGAATCCAGGAGGTGGAGGTTGCAGTGAGCCAAGATCGCACCACTGTACTCCAGCCTAGGCAGTAGAGTGAGACTCAGTCTCAAAAA